TTTACTCATTTCCATTTTTTTTTTTATATTTGTCACATCCCTGTATTTGTATGGTACTTGTGTTCCGTGTCTGTATTTAAAAAAAGAAAGAAACAAAGATGGAAAGCGTCCATTTATAATTTGATGATTTCAAACAACTTTGCAAATCCAAATTTCATCAAATTCAGCATTCCAAACACAGTGCTAATGTATTTATTATTTTAACATTTACATTCTGAGATTCAAGTTTAGATTAGTATGAATTAGTATATCAGACCAGTTTAAATCATACATTTTGCTTGCTAAACACCCCTTAAACAAATCAATTAACATTCAAAACAGCAATTAACCACTGAATTAACTGACTAATGGAACACATCAAAATAGGGAGCTTGAATTTATTTAATTTTTGTTGAAATAATATTAATCTAAAGACAAGCAGGCTCATTGAATATCAAAATAGGCAAAATAAATAAATTGGTGGGTTAGTGTTGCCCAATCATCTGCTCTGAATATGCCTGCAAAATAAATATGCAGATGTGGAGATAGTAAGAAATTTGATATCCCCTGATTTCTTTTCTTTTCTTTCTGACAAATAACTCCAAATTATGCAGTTGGGAAGACTCGTACCTTAGACTTTTTATACTTTGGAGACTCAAAGTTTGCAACTTTTGCTTTTTCCCCATTTCTTTTCTTTTTCCAATTATATACTAGAGAGATTCGAACCTTATTTAAATGAACAAGAGTTACCGCGAGGCCACATTCCAACAGATATCACTAAATCACATGTCTTAGGGCCTGTTTGGATTGCAATAACGTTATATGCTATGGTTTGGTATGATATGAAAACAATCGTTTTGGTATTAGTATGTTTTTAGTAGAAATCGAATTCATGTTTGATAACGAGTGTTTTGTTTTTGTTAATTGTATATCAAAAATATGAAAACACGTTTGGCAATGTTATGCGTTTTAAAGAATTCGAAAACAAAACACGTTTGGGAAGTTTGTTTTGTTTTCAAAAATTCTGAATTAATAACAGAATATATGTTTGGTAAAGACTATTTTGTTTTTGTTTTGAATAAATATGAATAATTATAAGGTTAAATGTAATAGTCCATTTTCTTTATGATTTGAGATAATTTGTTAAAATAAAAAAATAAAAATATTTTGCATTAAAGAGTTGGGAAAAAAAAATATGAATAAGTTTACATGTATAAATAAGATCATGTGGGATGTTTATGAGGCATAGATATGATTAGTGGCAACCAAAGTACAAATCTAACTTTGTAATAATCTTTTAATGAGAGTAGATCTTTGCACTCTATTTATCTTTTTCTTTTGGTTTGCGCCCCATTTAACTTTGTTTTATTTCATATATATATATATATATATATATATATATATATATATATTATATAAATTCATTATGAATGATAGAGAGAGATTCTTGTAGTTGAAACTAACAAGAAGTAAAGCCAAAACGTTGATCTTCATGAATTGGTCAGAGTTGAGACTTGGTGAACATTGACGCTTGTGAATGGGTTTACTTCACTGAGATTAGTTTGAAATTTTGTGTTGGAGATCCTTCAAAGTGTTAATATTTTTATTATTAACTCCTGAGACCATTTCTCCTTTTTTTGAGTATTTATTTTGATAACCAACTTCTGAATATTTCATACAATCTCCAACCATAATTAGAAATGATAAATAGGAATATTATTAGAAGCAAGCAATCAAGAAAACTAGACATCACAAGCTAGACATGGAATGAGAAGTTTTTTTGGTACATCACAAACTTAATAAATTGTTGTTGCACCATTCACATATATACTTGCACGTATAGGGAGCTAGACATTCCTTAAAATTAGTATGTGTGTACATATACACTTCATTATACTTACATAAAATGTACACATCTACATCTAGAAATCACTAAAATTCATTCTGTAAAATGTACACACACTTCTTTATACTTGCATAAGCCTCCATTTGCTTAAGTTAGAGATCACCAGCTTCCTGGAGTTGCAACAACTGGAGAATGCTTCCTATAAATCCCACCGGTGCCACTGCCCACAACTTACTACCATGTCCTTTAACTTCACCACGAAACAGCTGCATTCTACTAAGCTTGAAAAATTGTTATATGTTTCACAGTTATATATTTCACATTTTTCTACTGTTATATATTTCAAAAATCCATTTCAAGTTAAAAAAATCAACCACATGTCTTTTTGGAATCAAAGTTTAAATTCCTTTTCTTTTTTTTTTTTTTTTCAAAAATCCGGCATGGTTTCCCCTTAAAAATAGACATTTTCAAAATTGAACCTATCACAATAAACACAAGGGACAACATCCACAAAATTATTTCAACAAGGGATACCGCTCACAAAATTCATTCAATCAATTTAATAAGGGACACCGCCCACAAAATTAATCCACAAATCCAAGTAAAATTGCCTATTTTCCTCTTAAACTATTCCAACAACTACAAGATATATCTAACATTAAGTTGCAAATTTGGAGTGTAAATAACCTCATGCAAAACCAAACACATGAACAACATTAGAGATAAACAAAATAACACATGGTAGAAATGAAGTAATTTAACAGTACTAAGCAAGATATATCTAACCTTTTTTCAGGCTATGTTGCAAATTTGGAGTGTAAATGACCTCATGTAAAACCAAACACGTGAACAACATACAGTAATCACGATCCAAACCTACATTGTTCTTAAATTTTCTACCTTCAAATTACACAGACGAGAATTATTATATTACATCTGTCAAAGTATATGATTTCAAATCTTAAAACTCTCTCAACGTATCAGATTCAAGGTAATGCAACTTATTCAAGGTAATGCAACTTATAATCTCACATTTTATTGTGCCTGGTAATTGCATAAAATATGAGGATACAAAAATCTCACATCTAATTACAATATAATAAGGCCGGATAGGGATTGTATGACATAAAGTTAGGTATTTTATTTTTATTCTCATGCTTATTTCTAATTTATTAATTTAATTGAATCAGACAATTTATATTTCTAAACATGTTATATGATCTCAGTTACTAACAAAGGCTAAATTTCCAAATAATTGGTTTGAATGATACTTTATAAATTTTCATAAGTTGCTGAAATAGGCTTTACTTTTTAGCTATAAAATTAAAATTGAGTTATGAAATTATGCACTCCCATTTCTATATACACAGAATTATTCATCACTTTGCAGAAAATAAAACTATATCTAAATCTGGATTATGCTACTATATTTGCTACTAAAAGAATATGGAATTGTGGAACTATAGTTATGGAACTAAATCTGGAATTTTGTTACTGTATATATATATATATATATATATATATATATATATATATATATATATATATATATATAGAGAGAGAGAGAGAGAGAGAGAAAGAGCACCTGAAAGAATCGCCCTTGACGAAATCAATACACAAAATGTATGACCAACAGAAATTTCCAAAGAAGAAGCGTCGATCTATGGTTGCGAAGAACTCTAGGGTTTCAGATTCGGGTCACACTCCATTTAACAGAGAGACGATTGAGCTGAAAACCAAGTACGGGAGGATTGATCGATCTGTAGCCTAGCAACGAAGGTGTAACGAAAACGAAGAACAATTGGCTTCAGAAATCGCCTCTAAAGGAGCTGCGCGATGGGAGAGAAAATGATGATGAAGAATAATCTAGGGTTTCAGATTCGGGTCACACAAATACATAACAGAGAGACGATTGAGCTGAAAACCAAGTATAGGAGGATTGATTGATCTGTAGCCTAGGAACGAAGGTGTAACGAAAAAGAAGACCAATCGCCCATGAAATCGCCTCCAAAGGAGCTGCGCGATGAGAGAGAAAATGACGATGAAAAATGGCTCGGTTCTGATATGCGATTTTTTATACTTGATATCATTGCTACAGTTAAATGAGGGTTGAGGTTTGGGTTGGTATGGTCGCTACAGTAAACCATATCACCCAATATCACCAATTCTTTGATATGGGTTTTGGCCCAAATCTCAAAATGTTTTTACACTGTTCAATACCACATCAACCCACTCCAAACATGATATTGGCCCAAAAATGAAACCAAAACATGAAAACGAATAACAGATATGGGCCTCCAAACAGGCCCTTAGTGTGTAAGGAGAAAGTATACAACACCACCAAGCGTGGGCGGAGGGAGGCTTCAGCCCACCCAAAAAAAAATTTTTATTTTTATTTTTTATTATACTACTTTTAATCCAGTCTAAAAAAATAAAAATAAGAAAAAAAAAATAAAATAGCACTGTTAGCCCACCCCAAAATTAGCCTCATCCAAAATTAGCTCACCCCATTAAGAAATCATGGATCTGCCCTTGACACCAAGGACATTTTTTATTTTATTTTATTTTATTTTTTTATTTTATTTTCTATTTTACATGACAAGCATTTTTAATGAAATTTTGTAAAATGGTACCAAAATTGCCCTTATTAAAATGTTTTATTTTATATTATTTTATTTATTTTTTCCACTGTACCAGAAATAGCCTTGGTGTTTCTTGGTGCTGCAGGGATATTTGGTGATGGTGAACTCTCAATCAATGGTAGTAACACATCATACAATTCCATCCAATGGACCAGAATATGATGAAGTCATAGTTGTAACACACATGATGATATGGTAACGGTAAAATCATACGTTTTCAGATGGAATTCCAAAAATAATTTAATTTATAAAAATAAAAAAGGTTCCCAAGCGAAAAGAGATTTATGTTAGAATGAGAGCTATGTTACTTTATAGCCTTTTGTTGAATAGGGTATTCTAGTTTGTTTCAATTCAAAGAGTAAAACTATTGTTAGATTAATAGTTAGTGAGTGCAAAGGTTTGGGACTTTGTGGGATTACGGAGAATAACCCAACTGTTGGGCTACGAGTATTTTGCACTAGCAACAACTTAAAAAACCCCAATCAACATCTTGATAAAGATAAAAATAAATAAATAAAATTAACACAGGTAAATTTGCTTAAATAACAATATATATTTTTGACATTATACATCAGTGATAATTGAATTATGACACATTCATGACCATGTACACCTATATAAACAGGGTAGTAAGATCTGTTTCATTGAAACTAATATTATGTACATTTTACACAGAACAAATCGAATTTGAACCAAAAGAATATAAATATTCTTGGCAACAATTTTTGCACCACACAATTCTTCAAACAATTCCATTTCATGGACATAACCAACAACTACAGACACATAGGAAGAGTTTCAGAAGCCTTTCCAGGATGCAAGAACTTCATTGAAGATTTCAGCAATAAGCTCCCTGTCTGCAAATTGAAGGAAAGAATCGAAATCATCTCGAATGTCGAATATCTTACCGAACTTCACAAGATACTGCATGCAACAGGTCTTCAGTCTAGGCAATTGATATAGAGAAGCATATTGAAGCCTCTCAAGCACATTCTTAGTATCAATGTCCTCAAGAAGACTCTCATGGCATGCCACTTTCAGGTCTAGAATGTCGTACTTATCAGCTGCTCGAAGAAGTGCCAGCCTTTGAGCCAGAAATTCTTTGTGTTGTATGTTCCCATAAATGTAACTAAGAAAAGCCTGGCAAGCTTCGATAGACAAGTCGGAGATTTCAATGGTGGATAGTTCATTCTCTTTGAGGTTATGCGAGAACATGCTCCGGAAGACAGGTGACCGCGTGGCAAGAACTGCACGATGGGCTCCAATGCTTCCATTAGAAGCATTGATTACAATGTCGGTGTGAATACCTTCTGATAACATTCTACCAAGCGACGTAAGGGCTCTTGCATTCGATTGTTTTTGTGGAAATTCTTCAGCCCAGATAGAATAAGGTTCCTCACCCTGTGTGTTATGTGAATTACATCAGCTAAAATGAAATTAAAGTAAGGAGAGAGAGGATGACACTATTTACATTTTTAGCATACTTTACTTTTGTGTATTGGTCTCATTAGTGATTGTCCAGTTACATAAAAAGAAAAACAATGGCCTGTACAGGTATCGAAATCACTAAAACGTTTCATGTTTACTAGTTTCACTCAATTACTGTAAACTGCATAATGTCTCTTCTAGAGATGGGATTATTACAATCCTGAATAATTATTAGTGATTCCATCAAATTGACAGGTATCTAAATTTTAAAAATGCAAATATTTTAAGGTAATAATAATCCGTGTTGATCAATCAAGGGAACACATTAAGACTAGCTAATAGAAATGTACCTCAGGAGATGCAATCTTCAAATCAATAAATTCAACTTCGATGATGAATTTCCCAGTTACAGGAACCTCAACAGCCCAAACAAAATCTTCGTTACTCTTGAGTTGCTTGTCAGCAATTTCTACATATATACAGAAAACAAAATCAGTTAAAACAGTATCAAAAGAAGGTAAAACTATATTGAAAACAAATAACTTATATGTAACATCTGCATTTTACGAAACTAAAAGCAGTTACACAGAATCAAATGAAGCTAAAATTAACAAAATAACTTAGTTGCATTGTAGATTTTGGACGAGGAGAGGGTATATCCCCACTCATCGCATCCATGCCCCCAAATGATGTGTTGGGTAGGTCCAGAAAAATACTATGGACTGCATCAATGAGAGGAGTCGAACACTTGCATCACCTCCATGAGGTGTGGTCCATGAGCTCGGACCCTCTGCCGTACTGCTTTGGACGGCTCACATCATTTCACATGCACATCATTTCGTGTATGAAATGATCCTAGTCGTCCAAAACAGTACATAGACACAGAGAATCCAATCTTGTGGTCCGCGGCAACTTGTTCTACCTGAGTTTTGCTTTCATATATATGTCAATGTCTATCAACAAGATTTGCTCAAGTTTGTGTACCACAGAACATGTACAATCAGGTGACATAAACATCATCTAAAAGGATCTTAAGAGAATATATATAATCTGAGTCCTATAAAGAGCACAAAAGAAATCATTTGATGTAATTAAATTACCTGGGTGGATTAAAGCCTTGCGACCTCCAGAAGAACAGAGTAATCGAATAACAAAAGATGCAATCGGAGGGTTCTCTCTCGTTAAATTAGATATCTCTGGGTATAGTTTAATAATCAACGTCCGATTCTTCTCCAAAGATAAATGCCTTCAATTCGGTAAAAAAACAAAAATTAAAGTTTCACATTAAACTCTAAAAATACAGGTATAAAATAGACTAGCTACATTTGCAGTATCAAACAACTAAAATTTTCCTTCTAACAAAAGAGAACAAAGAAAAAAAAAAGGAATTTATCTACAGTTAAAAGTCATAATAACAAGAGAATTGAATTTGGGTTTACTTTTAAGTTTCTCAGCTATGGCAAAATCAAGTAAACATATCATACGAAGTCCATTCCTCTGTTTTTTTTTTTAGAAAACAAACAGAGAATAGAAATTGCAAACCAAATAAAATAGCAATTTTCCTTCTAACAAAAGAGACCAAACAAGAAAAGAACAAATTATTTCCACTCAATAGAGCCTATCATGACAATTTGGGTATTGGGTTATTATTATTATTATTATTATTATTTTCAGTTCTCAAAAAGAAAAAAATAATAATAATCAGCTCTCCCAACAACAAATTACCATATCATACAAAGATTTGTACTTGCAATTTCTTTTCCCTTTTTTGTTCTCTTAGAAACCAAACAGAAAATAGAAAATTGAAGACCAAATAAAAGCAGTTTTCCTTTTAACAAAAGAAAAGAAAGAAAATAGTGAAACAATTTCTACTCAACTGACCCTAACGAGACAAATTAGAATATTCTTATAAAAAAAATGACAAATTTGAATATGGGGTTACTCAATTTCTTGAGCTACCACAAAAACTAAATTAACATCTGACTTAGAGATTCTTAATTTCAGTTTCTTTACTTTTCCCCTGTTTTCTGAACAACCAAACACTGGGAAATCAAAATTCAAAAATTCAATCAACTAAAAAAAATGAATTTAATCACCCAATAATTGCTCACCAATTCCACTTTCCCATCTTGAAAGGATCGGATTTTCGGTAAGTACAGGTGGCCAGGTTTTCGATCCTCCATTGGGCAAGGCGCGACGTCGTTTCAACACGGTAAGCAGATTCGCTCATCCTAGCGAAGGCCAAAGCGGCCCTGATTTCATGGAGACAATCGAAGATTCCATCGAACAACAACTCTCCTGCCTTTCCCAGATTTGCTATTATCAATCTTCTTCATACACATATACGAGTGTATAAATATATACTCCTATCTGCACTCTCTCTCTCTAGTAGACTCTGCAATAGATGTTCTTCAAGAATTGATGCAAAATATTTAGTTTTTATAACGCTATTTTGGTACCCAATAATATAGATATTGCTTTACGCCATTGATGGGTGAAGTTTGCAGACGGGTTTTAGTTTTAATGAGGGAGAGAGAGTGTTTTTTTTTTTTTTTTAATTTGTAGAGAGAGAGAAAGAGACAGAGACGGGGGATGCCGTTTATTTGCTGAAATGTTGGCTTAGACTGCAATTCATGGTGGTGGGGGAGTTATTTATTGGGAATTGTTTTGTCTGCTTCCTCATTACCTGTTTGTATTATTGTCTGTGTTCTATATATATATATATATATATATATATATATATATTTGCTTTTATGTATGCGTGCAAAGAACATATGTAGTTTATTTTTGGTGCTTTGAAGCAAAGTATCTAATATTTGGAAAATTACGAAGTTTTCGTAAATTTTAATTTAATTGAAAGTCTGAATCTCATTCTACTTTATTTTGCATTGTTTTAATTTTTTTTCTTTATATTTTCTGTAAATTTTTATTTAAACATCCATTCAAATTTTAGAATGTATTAAAATACATAAATATTTATTTATCATTATGATATATCGAGCTGCTGATCAGGTATCATCGACATGCCTTTCATATCAAATAATGGTCATAATGTAAAGTCTTATAAATTATCTGTTTGTATATTTACAAGTAATCAATTATTTGAACTTATTGTCATTATTAGCATTATTAGGATTCATTTAGAATTAATATTACTTTAATCATTTGCTTGATTAGATTAAAAAAGAAAGTTTGATTACGTCTGTGGACAGAGTGTGTCTAGCGGTCAACTCCAGTCACGTTGTCCACTGTGATAGATGGGTCGATGATTTTGGCATAATACACATGACAGTCTGGGGAAGCAATTTTAATAATTAAAAATAAATAAATAAATAAAAAGAGAAACAATATACGCTTTCGCATATTCATCTTTCTCAAACTGTCAAGTTGTAGGTTAAGTTCTTCCTCTTCGTTTCGTCACTTCAAACAATATTTATTATCATCTTAACTTGAAGAGAGAAAGAATTTTTAATTACCAAAAAAAAGAAAAAAAAAAAGAGGGAAAGAACTTTTGATTTTTAAAGTATATGGTTGCAACTTCATATCATATATCATATTCATAAATATTTATATATATTGTATCATATGTGTATTTTTTTTTTTTTGAAAGTAAATATGTGTATTTATTTATTTGATTATATTATTCGTCATAGTTTATAAATTTTTTTTAAAGAGATACTAGAGAGAGAAATATAATGAGAAAAAGAAAGAAATGATAGAGAAGAGATGAGAGAGAAAGAGACAGAAGTGGCTTAACTGGACAGGTCACGTAATTTTTGCTAAAATAATCGATCAAATACATCGGTTGAAATATCATTTTCTGTTGTCCAAATGGATGACATAAGTTTGAGAAATTGTGGTACAAAGAAATAAACAAAAAGGTTTACGGTATGCTTTTCCAGCTAATGTTTGATTAATTTCATTCTTTAAAATTTTTTTTTTTTAATTTTTTTTTTTTTCATGGAAAGAAAATACTTTTTCTATGTAAATATATATTTATAACATAAAACCGTTTACGAGGCACTCTTGTTTTTTTCTACCTTAGATCAAGTAAAATGAGTACATGGTCATTTTAGTGGACGACATTCCTTCTTTTATAAACCCCATCTAAGCTTAACTTATACAAGTACATCTATGTGTATATATATATATATATTAGGTTTAAAATTACAAAACAATCGTTTTACTTTTAAAATTATACATAAAATCTCAATAAATTTAAAAATACCAAGAACAAACAAAATTTATCAAGCTACCTTAAAACTCGTGGAATGGAGCGTAAAATATCAAATTTGACCTTACTATTTAATATTAAATTAAAAAATATAATTATTATTTTAAAATTACAAAAATATCCTGTCTTCTTCCTCATATTCACCCCCTCTCTAAACTTTTACTTTTCTTTCTCTAAACCAGAACCAAAACTTTTTGTAATTTTAAAATAATAATTATAAATTTTAATTTAATATTAAATAATAAGATTAAATTTGACATTTCACAACTCATTTAATGGGTTGGTCACAAATTTGGGAATAACTTGATAAGTTTTGTTAGTTCATGAATTTTTTTAATTTTAATGGAAGTTTTATGCACGATTTTAAAAGTAGAGAAGGTATTGTGATTTTAACCCTATACATTATTACCAATGATGACCGTGTCAGATCTCTTGGATCACTCCAAATTTATCATCGGGTACATACATCTCCCGTCCAAATAAACCAGGCAATTATTAAAAATATTCTTTTGAAAGCGGGCCTAAGGAAATTCAAACTCCACACCTCTAAGATGTGAGGTGAGAATCTCTATCATTTGACAAACCTTATAAAAATATAGGGCATACCAAGTCCAATGATATAAGAGTCTCACTTCCTCGAAGTTTAAGCTTAAACATAAATTGATGCCATGTTTTCATAATGCTAAATTGTTAATACTCAAAAAAAATAAAAAGAAAAAGAAAAACCTAAATTGTTAATAATGAGATATTTTTGTAATATAGAAAAGTGAAACAAAAAAGAGAGAGAAAAAAAAAATAGAAAAAGAAATTTAGAACATTCAATGCTTAAGAACAAATGAACAATATAAAGTGACAACACAACAAACTTTGTGGTTGCCTACCTTCCAATTCACCTAACAAGCTAGTTGAGTATAAAATATTGGATGAAGGGCCTAAAAGGGTGTAAATGAAAATTTGTAGAATCTAGTATGAAGAAAGAAAGAAAGAACGAGGAAGAAAAGGGCAGCATTGATTGGGAGGGGAAGGTTTGGAATCTTGAGAACCTTTAATTAATTAATTAATTTGATATTTAGGCATTCATTGGTGATTTTACAAGTGGACAAGAAACGTATCTAAGGCGTGGGACATCCATCCTCCCAATTGGATTTCTTGTAAGAATTCCAATGCTGCAAGGAATCCTCCTTTCCAAACAAATACGTAGTAATAATGTACAACTGTATGGACCACATTACCACAGCCCTACACGTCAGCAATCACAAAGTTGTCTCGTGGGCTGTCATCACCTTCTTAGTTTGATTGCTTTCGTCTTTAATGAATATCTATGAACGTCTTTGTTGATTCTTCCTAAATTGCATTGATTTTATTTTAAAATTTATATTTCAATTGAAATTTAATTATGTACCAATCAGACTCATCACACGTGTAAATAGTGTCGAGCGTTTTAGAATTTTCTTTAATGAAATATTTCTTTTGTTTGTCTTGGAAAATAATTTTTTTTTTTTTTTTAGTCAAAACTTTGGTGGTTTCATCATTTAAACATTTGTAATAGTAGATATGAGATGCATAATGATGAATGCTACGACTATTTATTCTACAACTAACTGTTTTCTTATTGGTTGCATTTGTCACCTATCATAAATATCGGTACATAAAAAAGTATTGCTTTTTCTCATCATACATTTGAAAGAAAAAAATGGCACATATATTAAACTTTATTTAGTAATTAATTAATGACTAGATCCAGCTTAATGGAAAATAAAGACTAGATTTCCATGGTGGGGTTAAGTCACTGTAGTTTTTAAATTGGACATCACGGTCAAGGAAATGAGTGGTTGTTCAACGCCATTTTAGATATTTAGATAACCTTATGTTTTTTTAATCCAATCTTGGACCCAAACTCTCATTGTTCTTGATATGGGTTCTTCTTATTAAGCATTATAATTGAAGTGGCGTGTTAGGGCATTATGTTTTTTAATTTTTAATTTATTTATTTTTTGCATTAGGGTATTATGAGGATCACCATTCAATAGGCCTAATTATATGAATAAGTGGTTCACGAGTTTCGCTTTCGAATTATACGCTTTAAAGGAGAAAAAAAAAATTATATGAATTAGTGGACCATTTTACATCATTTGAGCCATACGTTCAACTTTTAGAATGGTTATTTATATGAAATTACACAAGTGATCAGACGGTTATAATTTAACTGATTTTTTCATCTTGCTCTACATCAGTGTTCAAGTTCTTAGATATAATGCTAAGGGAGCATACTCTATGTCTTCCCTTTTACATTTTTTATGATTATTAATAATAAGATAATCTAATGATAGCAACTGAAAAAGACAATTGATTATCCACAAAAAAAAAAAACACACACACACACACTAAGAAAGACAATTGGCTCATTTTCAGCCATCAACGTGCAAAGTAGGAACACGGTTGTTGCACTCTACCAAGCACCAGGACATGTGGCACCTAAAAACCTAAGCATACTGCAAATACATCTTATTTCCACTGTGTTATTAATTTAATTACGTAATTTATTAAAGTATGTAGTTTAGTGAATTGGTGAAATTTTTTATCTTTCAAATTTGAAGATTGAAATTGAAAGTCCGTTAAAAATAAAATGAATATTTGAGTAAGTTTTTCGTCAGGATAATATATATATACACAAAAATACTACGTACCATTTATTTTGTATTAGCTTTGTCCTCTTTTAAGTGACACGTTGCATGCAACACTTGGTATTTAAATTATTTATTAATATTTATTTCTGATAAGTAGGTGAAGAATCCATTCGCGCAAACAAAAAGTCATTTTTGTTGACAAGAGGAAGAAAATGAGACCCAATGAAAGAGACGAGTTGAGCTTTGGTCAATTTAGTTAGAAGCCCTCTTCAATTTAGGTAGTGTAAAGCAAATGTCATGCTTGATGGCATTGTGAAATATTGGTGACTAACTCAAACCCAATTCAACTTCAATCCATCTTTGAATAGAACTAAACTATTATTTTTTGTTGTTCGAAATTTGGATGACTAACTCAAAATCAAATCAACTTCAATCCGATCTTTGAAAATAACTAAATTATTATTTTTGTTGTTTGTGTTTCATCTGGAATTGAAAATATTAGAGTTGAATTTGGATAGAAATGTCAAACAAGTTTAACCCAATTTATATTAATAGGATATTTTTATTGAAAGATTAATAATTCAGGCCCAAATTGAATCTTAACAGACCTTTAATTTACTAATGTGAATCTAAGCCCACCAGAGTTTAATTTGATTTTAGAAATATGATCAGATGGAGAGATACTTTAATGTTATTGTAATTTTGATAAGATAATATTACAAATTAATTGAATTAACATGTAGTAATATGACTCAATAAATAAATAAATATTTTTTTTATGTTATTGAATATAATTAATTGATAATAGGATGATATGATATAACGGGAAGCCTTTCTCACTCGTATGATGATTCATTAGATCGTTTGGTTATCCACACATAAAATATCACGAGGTGACATACACCTTGGTACCAAGGAAGAAGGTTAAGACCACCAAAGAAATGATCTGAAGTATAAACTTGGTTTGGGGCACGAAGGAACTGGCCCAAACATTTCATGTGTTCACTTATGGACTGCCCCAATGCCTGGGTGGGGTTTACTGAAATTATCAGCCCAACTTGGTTAGATATGGGCCAAACAGCCGCTTTGCATATTGTTGAATGAAGGGTCAAGTCTAAAAAAAAACATTTGTAGAGCATGTTTACAGTGCATTATTGCATATCACATCCCTCAATTACAAAAAAGGTCTTAAAGTTTTAATTTGGTGTAAATTTAAATTTAAATTTTAAGTTGATTAAATTATTCTTACTGATCTATTTTATAAAATATATAAAAATAAATAATTTTATAAAATAACAAAAATTGACAATATAAATTGACGCCCCTCACGTGCCAAAAAAAACCCCTAAAGTTTTCATTTTGTGTAAATAGTTCCCTTTGACAAATTTAAATAATAAGTTGACTAAATCACCCTTATTTAATTATTTTATAAAATATATAAAAATAAGTAATTTTGTAAAATGACCAAAAATGACTATTACTGGAATGCCGCAAATGGATAAGTAAAGATAAAAAATAGAAACTAAAAGTATAAAAGAAAAGTAAAGATAAAAATAAAAAATGAAAATAAAGTGCAAACTAAAAAAACAAATTTGCCCCAAATTCCGAAAACCAATATACTGATATTGAGATTTTTTATTATTATTATTTTTAACAGTGTTGGTATGAAAAAAAAAAATGAAATAAAGAAAAAAAAAGTAGAAAACAAAAAAATCTCAAAGTTTCAAAAAAAAAAAAAAATTTAGAGATATATATAGAGAAAAAAAAGTTACAAAAAAATAAATATACAGTAATGTACACATAAACACCCCTATATTATGAGATTAGTACCATATATACTTCCATTGGCTATTTTTAGAAAAGTAAAAGGACAAAACAGGTATTATAATACTAATTTATGTCAGATTTTCGATTGAGGGGTATTTTTGCATAATGTGAAAAGATTAAAAGTATTTTTTGCACGCTTTTTCAAATAGGGATAAAAATGCTATGCAGAGTATACTCTAGAGGTCCTCAAAATAAAAAAAAAAAAAAAACGGTCATAATTGGACAATCTGATATGACTATTACATATAATAATACTACCGGGAGAAAGAAATTAACAAGCAACAGGACCCACATATGACATACTATACTACACGTTGATAGTCCACCATACGTCGTGTTAGAAAATGCTACATTGAGTATTCTCCTTAATTAACTTAGTTCTAGGAAACTAGGAAGCAATTTCATTGGCATCAATGGAGAGAGTCAAAGGACTAGCACACACGGACTACCGAAGTCCTTACACATGGAACACTAAATAAAATGTTCTACGAATTAATACAAGCTAGTAAAGCTAATTGAGCCCGAAAAATCCATAGTTAATTTGCATACGAAATCAGCCTAAACTTTTGGAAAATGTCTATAAGCCTTTTTTTATATATTTTTTTTATTTACCCAAAATAAAAAATAAAAAATAAAACCTTGGTGGAAAAGTATCAGTTGGTTGACCTACCTAGGTTGCAATTTTTTAATTTCGTACCTGTCTTCTTGCAATTAATAATTAATGATAGAGATGTAAACGTGGTTTGGATAAATAATCATCCAACCAGTAACCTTAGAATTATTACTGATGGTGATTTGATAGATACACTTATATTGCATTTGTCATTTTAGTCTAGAGTTATACTAAATAAGAGATTAAGAGATGAATTAAGTCTTCCTGTACTTAATGAGTACTATTTTTTCTCGAGGATTCAATTAAGTTTGATCATATTAGGTAGAGTTATATTAGATAAGAGATTAAGAGATGAATGAAGTCTTCCTGTACTTAATGAGTACTATTTTTTTCTCGAGGATTCAATTAAGTTTGATCATATTAGGAGAAAAAAGGTGCTGAATTAACATGAAAATGAACAGAATGGGAGAATAAACCAAACAAGCAACAGGAAAGTCAACTATATACAAGTCAAACACGTGAGTTGCTTAGTAATGCTCCATTAACTATCATAGTCAATTTCATATATTACTACTATATCCTACTACACAAATTAATTAAGACTTTTGTGGTAAAAAAAGTATAATTTTTGTACTAGTAGTACCGATTAATTTCATAGTCATATATATATTTACATGTATAGAAAGGTTGGTTCAAAATTTCAACAATCTTGAACTAAATTAGTGAATCTCATCAATAAAAGATAATTAATCATATTCATAACACATGTACATACATACGATACAAAAATCTTAAATCAAACAAGTTCCAACAAACTTCAACAAAAATGGTTACAATATCTCATAAAACCATACAAGGTCAGTAATTTCTTAACGATCACATGATGGAGCAACCAGATGAATATTGATCAGAAACACTTTCACACACATAAACTTGTGGATTTTGATAGCAACTTGTTTGGCATGGAACTATTGTAACTTTATCCTTCCCTGTATCAACTTTGGGTTTCACTTTTTCCACGCTTATCAAGCTCGCACAACCAACCTTCTTCCTCAATGAGCTCGTCAACTTAACCGCGTCCACTCCATCTCCGACCACCACGACTTGGCTCTTATCTTCCCCTTCTATTGCCACTGAGCTCACACCTGCATGTCTCCAACCAAAATCAATCCAATTAATAAGCTATTACTTGAAATTTTGTGTGTGTTCGATCGCGCTGTGTATAATTCAAAGAATTAAGCTCTCTCAAGGTGAATTAAAAGTTGCAATGTGATGGGTACGTACCATATGCTACAGAAGCAACCTTCATTGCCTTCGATCTGCATTTCTCGCAAGTCAGATGCATCTGAATAACAATCTTTTGCTGTAACATTGAATAAATAATTAATACATACCAGGCTATATATATATATATACACACACACACACATACATATATATCAAACATGATCAGTTTTGTTCTAGAAAGAGAGGTTAGAAATGCTTACCTTCATGTTTGAGATAGTACTGAGCTTTCTCAGTAGACGTTTAATTTGAATTGAATCTGGGATAGTTTAGGACACACGAAACTTTGTCTCTCACTACACAAACACAAGCTAGCGCACACATATATATATGAGAATATAAGTGCTAAAATTCTAGCTACAAGACAAGAGCTTTCAGCGGATAGACGATAATTAATCAATGAGATTCTTATATATATATATATATAACCATCAACCAATCGCAGAACAAAAACGTGTCAATGGCAACCCAGTACGTTTCACATATTCCCGGATTTGACTGAACTTGCTATCCACATAAATTAATCAATTCCACAAGCAAGCAACGTATTATATTGGCTTGGTTAAATAAACTTATATCAAAGGTATCATGAATACATACAGGTTTAATCTTGGTCATATATATGTAAATATATATCTAAGAACTTGAGTTCAAGTTTTTTTGTTTTGTTTTTTGTTTCATCATTCTTTTTAATTGTTTAAAGTAACCAATTTTGGTTTGAAAACAATAGTTTTGGTTATTTAATTAGTTGAAAAATGATTACTTTATTAGCAACTAAAATGTTCTGATTAGCAACTAAAACATAATCATATGTAATCTGACAATTAAATTTTCAATAGATAGAGTGTTATAAAGTATTAAATCTAATTGATCCAAAAAAAAAAATTGTTAAAAAAAAAAATCCATTTTTTTTTTTTGTTGTTTCTTTGGGACATGATATATCTACTAGAATGCAATATTCATTAATTACTTATCAAAATTTAATGTAATACAGTAATAAGACTAGGGTAAATTGTACCAACTGATCATTTCTTTATTAAAGAAGTAGCCTGAACGTGCATTATTATTATTCCAACAGTAATTACAAAAGAAATTTATAAGTAGGTAGGTGGTCCGGTTCTATGTCTCACTGTCTTGGAGATTATTTAGCCTTGATTAATGATTGTTGTGATTTTGGCACATGCCTTTTATAAAACAAAAATAAAAGTTTGAGACCATTTTAGCAGAAAAAACAAAAAAAAAAAAATTAAGAAATTGAAAATTGGAGGCTAATTAAAGAATAACAACAAATTAATGAAGAAAATCCATTTCATGAAATAAATTAGGGATATATAATTTCATCAAAAGGCACCAAGGGCTCATATGCATTAATTTGTTAAGGGTGGGAGAATTTGAAAGTAGTGCATTCACCAACACGAAAGGTCTGATTGCTTCTACTTCCATCTCCTGTTTTGTTATCATCATAACCGGCCTGGATAATCCCTTTTTGAGAACAATGCTTTCTCATCCAAACGCAGCCCAACCTCCTCTCCCAACTTCTCTATTTCCCATTCACTGTGAGGGTGTGTCGTCTTGTGGGTCATGTGCACTTCTCCATTCCATGTCATGATGTCACGTGCACTCCTTAGGAAGCCCTTCACCACCCATCTGGTGACACCTGATCGACCAAATACATGCATGCTTCAACTTAGTTTTCTAGTCCTTGTATGGTTTTCATATTAATTAATAATAGTTTGAAAGGTCTTTAATTATGTTGCGGGGTTAAATCACGAGTCTTGAAAAAATAGTTGCAGTTTGAGAATATAACCAATGTTAATGCAATCGAGGTAACCCTCCATAATCTTTCATGTAAGGTGTAAACAATATAGATTGTTTTTTCCAAAATAATTTTCCTTCAACAAATTCTCCCACTTTGTTCATATGCTAAATTAATTTGGGGGCAAATATTATACTTTGTTTGTATGTATATATATACATTCCAGAAGATATCTATATCTATATCTATATTATTATTAAATGTGCAAAGAGTTTCAGTATTTATTTATTTATATAAAAAAATATTTATTAATTGATATAAAATTAGTTTTTATAAAATTAGTTTATATAAAACTCTAAAAATTACCTAATAAAATCAATCACAATAAAATATTTATTTTAGTGTTTTAGTATTCCAGTATTTATTTATTTATATAAAAAAATATTTATTAATTTATATAAAAATAGTTTCTATAAAACTCTAAAAATTACTTAATAAAATCAATCAGAATAAAATATTTATTAATTGATGTAAAAATAATAATAATTTTTTATGGATAATTATCACAATATAACCGGCCCGACTCAATTATGATTATGTCATTATCAGGAGAGGACATATGTCATCGTCCTATTAATCCAAGAAGCCTATAAATAGAGTCATGGAGGAAGGAGGAGGGGTACAAAAATTGAGAATTCTAGAAATTCAGAATTTTAGAATAAAATACAGAAGTTCTGCCAAAAAGTTTCAGTATTTAGGTATTTATTTATTTATATAAAAAAATATTTATTAATTGATATGAAAATAGTTTTTATAAAAATAAAACTCTATAAAACTCTAAAACCTACATAATAAAATTCAAATTAACTTATTTATCTATTTATTATTATGAATTTTTTAATAAAAGAAAATCTAATTAGACAAGAATTATTAATATAAAAAATATTTATTAATGGATATAAAATAAAATAATTTTTCTAAAACTCTACCACAAATTAGCTTTTATTAGGAGTTTCTTAGTAAAATTAAATCTAATTCGACAAGGATATATTTAAAGAAAATAAAATAATTTCAATAAAACTCTACCACAAATTACATATTTTATTTTCAATAAAACTCTATCACACTAGACAAAGATATATTTAAAGAGTTTCTATAAAACTCTAACACAAATTACCTATTTATCTATTTATTATGAATTTTTTAATCAAAGGAAACCTAATTAAACGAGTATTATTAATATAAAAAAATATTTATTAATTGATATAAAAAGAGGTTTAAAAAGAGTTTCTATAAAACTCCAACACAAATTACCTATTTATCTATTTATTATGAGTTTTTTTAATAAAATGAAATATAATTAGACAAGAATTATTAATAAAAAAATATATTTATTAATTGATATAAAAAGGTCAATGATCATTGATTTTAGTATGTTTAGTGATAGTCGGAGTACGGTGTTGTGCGTTGCGTACGTGTGGTAGTACGATCCCATTTTAGAATAAGACTCACTTGGGATTGATGGTATTCTTTATACGTGTTTAGGTCACTTGTCGTAGATGGTGGTGTACATGATACGGGACTACGTGTCCAAGGAGTTTCAGTTGTTGGATCAGTTGATCATTGAGTTATGTTGATGGGCTGTTTTTATGGGTACCTGATGGTACATTTGACAGGTTGGACGGTTTTCTCGATTTCAGTCGTGGGTGTTCAGCTATGTTAAAACTATTAAAGGCAACAGTCATTAAAGATGGTTTTAAGAGTTTCTTTGGAATCACGAGTTAAGCTCACGTATTGGTTCGTTGAGTGGTTTTGTAACCACTATTTTGTGGGCCTTAAGACGTTTAGCTCGGATTGTGTGAGGCGCTGTTGGTTGGACCTACTGTGTATGAAATCTAACAGTTTTTTGGTGGGATGTCTCGAGTAGACCGCATTAGTGCGATTTTATGTGTTGGATTGGTTTTGACTGGGGTTGAGTGTTTTCCCTTGATTTCATGTGCGGAAGTAGATAGTTGAGTGTTGTGGTGACTTGGATTGAAAGATTCTTTTCGTGATGCGTGTATTCGTGTGGATTGACTAAAGTTGTTATTTACGGATTTTGTAATACCCCTAATTTTCAAAAGGATAGTCTCGGTATTTTGTTTAATTGTTTTTTGTTCATTAATTGTTTTTGGTTCATTAATCGTTTTGAATTATGTTTTAATATGTTTTAATTGACTTTTTACTTATTTGATTTACTTGACTTATTTGTGTTATTTGAATTAATTAGTTGGTTTATTTGTTTTCTTTGGTTTCATTAATTATTTGAATTATTTACATTAATTGTGATAATTGTGATTATTTAAGTTAATTGTTTAGTTATGTGTTTAATTGTAATGGTGTTATATTTAATTCTTTATTGTAAATTTAAATTGGTAATTGTCTTGATTTAATAATTAGGGTTAAATTGGTAATTGTCTTGATTTAATAAGTAGGGTTTTACTTTTAATCAGTTTGTAAGCCGTCGTAGGTTTCTCAGTATGTTGGATGGGCCAGTTAGGATTTCAGTTGGGGCTTGAATTAATTTAGGGTTTAGTAAAATCCTATAAATATATGTTAGATATTTGGTTAGGGTTTGAGAAACATAACAAAACCAAGTATACGACTGTGGAGACAAAGGAAGAACAGAGAGGGTTCACGTTGGTTTTCATCGGAACTTTAGAGACGGCGTAGAGATTTTTGGACAAAGATCTCAAAGGCAAGTTCTAACCTTACTCTCTCCCTTATACTCGTGTTCTTTGCATACTCAATAGTTCCAGGATGAATTACATGTTTAAAAATAAAAACGTTATCTGTTTCATGTTTAGAGTTTAACTGAAACTGAATTTGTTTTAAAATTGTAAACTGTTTAACTTTGAACTTTCTTGTTTAATTCTTGGTTTAATCCATATTAGTAGCATAATAAGGACTGAATTAAGGGTTGGAATCTTCTGGGATTGAGTTAAACTCTCTGAAAACCTATACGGTGAAGTGTCGGAGGCGTAAACGGCGACTGGAGAGGAGAACACGAAGAAGAGGAGGAAGAGAGCCGGCTCCTATTGGATTAGAGCCGGCTCTCCTTGGACTGGAGGCGGCTCCAATGGTCTAGGAGCCGGCTCCAGGGCCATTAGAGGCGGCTCCAATATTCTGGAGCCGGCTTCAGGTTGTTTTCTACGTGGGTTTTTGGTTCTGTTGTCTGTTTTTCCCCTTTTCAGTGATTAGGCTTCATAGTGATTGTTTTAATATGTTTTAGTGGAGAATGAATACTGTAATGGATGGTTTAGGAGTGGTCTAGAGTAAACATAAATATTCAAAGATCAGATTAACATAGAATTGGACACAAAGCATTAATCGTTAGATTACATGGAGTTAATTACGAATGTCTTGTAGACTTGTGTGGATTTGGAGTTTCTAACTTCTAGATTATAATGTAAAATTTCTTGTGAGAGTTTGTGCACTGCTAATTTCAAATTCTTAGAGTATACATACATACAAGGAATCTGTATTTTTGCTAAAGATTAGTTGATGATTAAACTTAACATTTAACTCGTCAATTTTGTTGAGTAGGAGCTTAACAGTATGATAAATTGTCTAGATTTATTATGCATGC